ATTAGCCGCTAAAAAAAAATACCATAAAATTAAACTGCTATTATTTTTTATCAATATTTTTTCAAGTTAATTTGTATATATTACTTTTATGATCATAAACAATAAAAATAGAATTATATAGAATACACTGACTTTCTTATTCTCATTAATTAATGGCTCACATATTAGTTAACACTATTAAGAATCAAGAAAGTAAGCCAATATAATATTTCAGTTTCAAAACAATTTACAATACAAAAAATTACAAAGTAAAAAAAGTTATGATGATAAGTATTTTTTTCAGCTATTAAAATGAATCATGTTTAAAATAAAATTAATTTAACTTTAAAATGTTTATTGATAAGCTAGGTACCTAAATATTTTGTTGTAGTAGTATCTACTAAAGATCATTAAAAATGATTATAATATCAAAATTATTATTGACAATAACAGAAAAATAAAATGAAGTAATGAAAATATGAACTATTAAAGAATTTAATGTTCTAAAGATAATTAAATCAAACAGAAAAATTCAGTCAAAGGAATCAAATTTTAAGATGTGGTGCTCGTGTTTCAATGTTGTTTAATAAAAAACAAACAAGTGTCAAAAAAGATGAAGCAAGGTAATAGAATCAAAACATGTTGATGAATAAAAATTAGATTAAAGGCAACTTTATAGTTTTATTTTATATTTTGACAGGTATCAWATCAAACTATTCTTCTACTMTTAATTATAGGCAAGAATTATTATWATTTGTGATTATGTTAAATAGCTTAAATATGCACAAACACTATCACATATTTTGATTTTGTGTTTCAATTAATAATTTTCTATTATTATTATAACTGTTTTGATAAGAAGGATGTTATACCTAAATCCAATAAACATACAGGGAGAAGTTTCATAAATAATAAAATAATAAGGAAATTTTAAAATTGTTTTATTGACATGTAGAAATAAAAAAATAAAAGGAATTGAGCATCCAGGGATGTTGCGATGTAATTTAATTACCCGGAACTTCAGTTTTGTCAGGATCATCGTCATCATCAAAATCACTTCCGGAATCTGGATTTTTCTCAGCTTTCACAATCGTGTCTTTGGACGCCTAGAAAAGCAATTTTGTATTTCAGTATTTTAGTTGAACCTATTTAGTGTAGAATTGGCGGCAAAGGTATGTGACTAATGGGGAATTACTAACACAAAAAGCATGGAATTACAAGATTATATTATGGGTAAAATATATATGGACATTCCGCTTAAAAAACTTAGGTGGTACAGTGAAATGCAACTTATAATCTTAGAGTACCATAATAATGCGGCGCAGTAGCGTTTATCAGCCGTCGCTGTGGACGGCGGACATACGTGCGCGCAAAAACCTAACTTTCGCTGGCCGGCCTAAGGGCAAAACGTACTCGCGAGTCGGCCAGCAAATTCGTGGACAGCATTTACTAACCATTTTATCGGACGGGTCCATAGGGCACGGAGACGCGGCTGGCAATGATTCACGGAGGGGTGGCCAGAGTACGAGATTTCGGCGGCGTCGGCGTCGGCAAGTATTGATTATCCGCGGTGGATCATAATAAAAAAATCCGGCTGCAAGCTTATTGGTGGAACCGCCCTGGGACGGTACGGGGAACTTTGTGTCTAGCCACGAGCGGTACAAACCGGGCGACTGTGGCCGGGGAAACGAGTTGCGATGCGCACGTCGCGTTCGTTTGTACGGCGAGAACCGCGATTGTTGTTGTTGTTGTGATGTTTACGAAATTCGGGGGCTCCCGGGGAAAAATAATATAAACTTCAACTTATTCGGTTGCGGGACAAAAGAATACAGGTTAGAATCAATACAATAGTTTTGCCGGAAAGAGAAAAACAACGCAGGCTGCCAGATGCTGCGAATAATACGACGCCCGCCGACAGCAGCCGCGCACAATATTACTGTGCAATACAGGCGTTCAATTATTGTACATGACGTATTTAATACATTTAAATATGAAATATGGATAAATGTATCATGTGTGTGTGTGTTACGGCACGCGTTTAAAGCTCCTGAGAAAATTGTCCTAATRAACTGAACGATAAGAATGTAATTGTTGCCGCGGGAAATRTTCAAGAAAAACGTGAAAATCGTCTCTTTAGACAAAAAATKATTATTATCAAAGATTCGGTTTGCCCGGTACTACGAGAAAAATAAACTTTGATCATTGCCCATCGATTCTATAAATTTTATTCGGTTAATCCGAAAAACTTTGACATAGTTCACGGACTTGAGACGGCAGAAAAATGTGTGATGATGGAAATTTTATTACGAATCCGAATGGATATATTTTGAAATATATATATATTAATTTTGTTTTCTGCATTCTGCTTCTCAACGTAAGCGGTATAACTTACTGGTATAAGACATAGCCTTGAATGGAGTTTGCGATTCTAATGTTGGCAATGCGTCAAAATTAACTGAAAAAATGATAACATGGTATCGACCAATAGGACGTCGCATTATGGCGTTTGATTTGCATTAGATAATTCATGTAGTACCATTTCTCCGGACTCCCGATGATTTTTAAAATAAAAAAAAAAATGTATGGAAAAGTTACAAACATCAATTTTTTCCCTACAAAATGTAAATGCTGACAAGTATTCACTTTCGATCTATGAGCAGTGAGTACAAGAGTCAAGAGTGGTTGATCAGTTAAAAGTTTGTCAGATTTTTGACAGTTGTGTGATACTGAGATTTAAAATTAAAAGAATTTAAAGAATTCCCCGTGTTTAATTCCAAACACCCTCAAAATGGTTAAAAGTAAGTAATTAGCACGTACTGATTGCATTTTCACTAATATTTATATTGATTCAATCGAAAATTGTATATTTYWGAAAAAAGTAATCGATTGGTCACTCAAAATAGCAGTGTAATAAATAAACGCCCTCAAGGATCTATTAAAAAATATTGTACCGAAAAAGTTAGTATCGCTTTTCTCTTTCCTTGCATTTTAAATTTTAAAAAATATAGTTTTAAGGTTGTGGTGTTATGGTTCTTGTTACAACAATTATTTTAATTAGGTATTTTTTTTAAATTCTTAATTTAATTTGTATCTCTATTTTGCTGTTTTAATTTTCGTACATACATTGATTAGCTTTATAATTTTGGCTTAACTATTTAGTATAAACATAATCAATCAACTATATTCAGTTCTGTCTTCTGTGTAATACTATATTGTAACACTTTTCATCATACTCAAATGGTTTTATGAGCTACTTTAAAGTTACTTCATTAATTATTTTTTATTTATAACTACATAACATTTTAAATATTAACCTGTATAACAAGTAAATCTAATTTCAATTACCTTAGACAAAATTAATTATAATACTTACTATTTTGACACTATTAATTCATATTAAAGTCTTGATAGTGTACTTAACTGTTATATAAATTTATTAAGAAAGTTATTTTGATAATATTGTCTTGTAAATATTTATTTATGTTTAAAAAGAAATAATTATTGTTTTATGGTCTAATGGTCTAATATAGAKGTCGTTGACTCAAATTAAGGGCCTTTGACCTAGTCCACAAATAAATGTATTTTTAGAATTAAAAACTAAGAACTTAGAGGTTTTTAATCTTTTAAGGAATGATTTGTTTCACTTTTAATATCTATGTTCTTCAAGATTTATAAATGAATATTTTTTTATAAATTTAAAAAATAATTAGGTAATATTTTATCTGTATTTATGCTTGCAGCATAATATGCAGTAGATGTTAGCATTAAATAAATTTTAATAATAATAATCAAGAACCAAACCCTTGACATAAGTACTGTTTGATGATATTTTACATTGGTATAACTATTCATTTATCTGAGTTTCTAATCCCATTAAAATATTATTTGTAGACAAATGATTTACTCGAAATTTAATGATTATAAGAAAAAAGTTAAAGTCTGATTTACTCAAAACAAGTTTATAAGTCAAAAGAATTAAAGATACCTAGTTTTAGATTACTAATATATGTACTTCCCTATTAACGATTATGAAATTTGTATGAGTTTTCTTAACATTCAAAAAAACTTTTAATGTTTGTAGATTGTATTAACATTTTACCAAAACCGTTCAATTCATAACTTAAATATACCTTATTAATAYAATAGTACTAATATTTACCAAATCAATTTAGATTATTTGTATTATTTAACTAATTATTTAAAACCGCCCCATTTATTTGGTAAATCTTGTTTAAGATAATTTAAATGCTTGTGTATATAAATGCGTATATTAAGTGTACACTGTACGGTATAACTAATCTACAAAAATATATAATTTTTTTTATGAAAGCTTGTTAGTTATGTTTATTATAAATTTTGTAGCTTAGATTGCATGAGCTTGAATAATATTCCTCGTCTATTTTTTCATAAATTATTTTTAATCCTTTTAGAAAATCAACAAGAAAAAAAACCTTTGTGTTAAACTTAGGAAAAATATAAGGGCCAAAGATAATCAAAATGCAATTAATTCTACTCCGAATATATTAAATAATAAAAGTATGCATCGCATTTTAATTTTATGTACAAAAATGAATATTTATTAAATATGTATATATTATATAAATATTAAGGCTATTGGATTTAAACTAAAACACAATGTATCCAAAGTTAAATGTAACATTAAATTTTTTTGTAGAAGGATCTCTTATTAGTATTTAGATTTTTTGATTAAACAGTGATTGTGTTTGGTACATTTTTCAACAAATTCAAATTTTTATCATTGTCATTCAAACACTTCTGCAGAATTATACAATKAAGGGKGGCCAAAACCAAAAATCTTATAACACAGCACATATAATTTTTTAGATTCTGAGTAGCTCAAAGCTTTTATAGTGCGTATGTTTTTGTGGTTGTTATCACCCTTTGGGATGATAAAAATGCTCTAATTTGATCAATTTAATTTTTTGTAGTTGGCACCAATTGGTGTTCAAAAGTGAAAAAACAAACAAATAATTGGGAAAAACTGAAATTTTTGTACAAAACCAGTTATTAATAAAATCAATTTTTATTTTTATTGCTATAAAAAAAAAAAAACCATGCATTAAATTTTCACTATTATATAAGTTATTTCTATGCTCCATAAATTAAAAATATTGTGATTCTTTTGAGGTATTTATAAAAAGAAAATTTTGAATTATATATTTATTTTTTTTAATTATTGCCAGTCAAAATTTTTGCTCAATCAAAAAACTTTAAAATGTAGGTAATACAATGCTTTTTATAAATTATTTTTGGGAATTAAAAAGAATTGCAAGTTGTTTACATAGCAGATGATAAATATTAAAGAACCTAAGACACAATTTTTATGCTTAGTATTTAAAATTTTTATTTTGAAAATTTAAAACAATGATTTTCATATATAGATCATACTGTTACCAAAAATTTTATAAATACAATTATTTCTTACAGATTTTAAGTTTAAATTTGGAAAAAATCACATATTAAAACCTAGGATAAAGATTTTAGTTATTTGATGTACATTATATTATATACACAATGACGTTTTCAATTACAATTGCTGTGCAAAAATTAATTTTACCCTTTGTAGTACTTATGCTTATCAATAAAATTAATAAATTTAATCACAATAATATAATATTTATTTTATAAATAACTGCTAATTGCTATATAATATTATATTGCCATAGTCAGGAATTTGATTCTGAATTGACTATCGGACATCTCTAAATTTTTAAGTAATATTAATATTTAGATTTACTATAAGTATAATAATTCAATTGTTTCAACTCATCCTACGCTACTCCTGTGATATTCAATAGTGTACTGAATCATATTATCATTCAATCATTTAAACCTTGTATATGTTACTATATCATGTTCAATTATGTTAGTCTATGAACACATGTCATAAGTTCCTAGTATAGTAGGACCTATTAATTATAACTTAAAAAACTTTATTTGTATTGATTCAACAAACCGTTCTTCAAGACCAGTTTGTGTAATAGGAATAGGTAACCAACTATTCTGTAACTGAATAGGATTTGGTTTAAATAAACGAGGTAGGTGTGTTGCAACATTAATCCAAATATTATTAAATTAAAAGCGATTAAAATTGATTGTTATTCCACAAAAATATTTGTTTCCTCCATTTGTCTATGGACATTGATTAAATATATTTAATATGTTTAATATTTAAAAAAATATTATTGTACAATATGAGATCTTATTCTATAGGGTTTATTTTTTTTTACTGATCTATTTTTACAACCCGGCATCATAGGCCATTAGTTACAGTTTTTTTTTTTGTAGATACTTTTGTTACATAATTATATTTACATTATATTTGGTCTATTAAATTAATTGATTTTAAAAAATGAATTATTTTCCTGTTTTGAGCGGGATCCGGACCGATTAGTGAATCAAGTGTTTCTGTAATGTTGAAGTTTATTCGTTCCTGTTGATAGAGTTGGCATTCCGTTAGTATGTGCTTGATGGTGGGGGGAGTCCCACATTCTTCACATGTGGGAGGTTCTTCTTTTGCCATGAGGTATCCATGTGCTAATCTGGAGTGTCCAATTCTGAGTCGGTTTATAGTGGTTTCTTCTTTTCTGTTGAAACCATGATTTTCCCATCTGAATGTTGTCCTTTTTATCTAGTTTAGTTTTGTGTCTTGATCATTCCAGAGTAAATGCCATTTTTTCCTTATTTGTGTTTTGACTGCCTTTTTGATGTCATATGAGAAGATATTTAGCTTGGTTGTGTCTGTGTTTGATGCGGCGAGTTTAGCGTATTTGTCCGTGATTTCATTGCGCCTGCGATGCCGGTATGTCTAGGGATCCAAATTATTGATATTTGTTTTGGCTTCATCAAGTTGGTTTTGAATGAGGACTGAGATGTCATTTGGGATGTTTTTGTTTTTAATGTTCTTTATGGCGCTTAGGGAGTCACTAAGTATTAAAAACTTTGTGTGTTTAATGGTTTCGATGGCTTTTAGAATGGCTATAGCTTCAGCTGAAAATATTGAGCACTCATTTGGAAGTTTGAATGTTATATTAGTATTTTCAAGTGCGATGGGCGATGGCAATACCGACACCTTCATTTTCCTTTGAGGCATCGGTATATATTTTTTGGTGATTCTTGAAGTCATCAAGGATATTGTAGACATGGCTTCTAAATATCTCAGGTGCTGTATTTTGTTTAGAAAGGGCATTTAGTTAAGTATTGATTACATATGAGTAATCCCATGGGGGGTTGTATTGAGTTCTCTGTGGATAATTTTAATTGGGGTTGCTGCATTTTTGTTGGTTAGCTTGGTAATTTTGTCATTTACGTCACTATTTTTACCTTTGTTGAGTCTGGATAGTCTTGCTATATATTTTATGAATAACTGTTCTTTTCAATGGGATTCAACAGCTAAGTTATAAATGCTGAGAATAGGGCTGCTTATTCTATAGTTTAACAATTAGTGTATCATACTTAAATCTTAATTTTATAAAATTATTGCCCGACAAAATAATTGTGATAAATTAAAATTAATATAATGTATATAAAATATATTCATTGATTCAACTTAAAAGTAATTTGACTTTCCAATAGCCATAATAGAATATAGTAATTTGTCTATGTCTATTATACTACACTGCAAATTAGTTATATAATATAATCAAAATTACATGTATCATATTAATTTAAATATAATTAGTCCATTATTAAATATTAATTAAGAGGACGCCACAGGCGCATGGTTGTCTCCGTCTTGCAAACGGTTAACATAGCAAATTTACGCTCAGCAGTTGTTATAATTTGTTCAAGTTTTACTCCGTTAGCTTAAAAATTAGTGTGAATATGAACCTATTATGAAACTTGATGGTAAGAACATTATCTGTGTCTTGTTGGAAGTGTTTTTACGACAATTCAGTTTTTAAGTGAATTATGAGCGTGTTTATTTTATGCATATAACTCACTTAAAAACTGAATTACCACTAAAATACTTCCAACAAAATAAATAATGTTCTCATCACCAAGTTTCATAATAGATCTATTCACTCTAATTGTTAAGCTAACGGAGTAAAACTTGAACTACTGAGCATAAATTTACTATGTTACGCCTTTGTAAGACGAGGACAACCCATGCGAGTGTGGCGTCCTATTAATCTTAAAAAAAAAATATATGTTTTAACTATGTCAATACCATATTTGGAGTTTTTATTTTTTATTTCATTCAAATTTATTTACCCTATTAATAATCTCCCAATTTTTGTATTTTCGTCATTATATGATCAAATTTGTTGTGTAAGACATACTAAAACAACTTGATGTACCCATAACAATAAAAGTATATTGAATAATTTTCAAGTACAATTTTTTGTTGTTTAAGATAAAAAAAGGAAAAAATCTTTGGAAAATGTTGAAAATAACCTAATCTTATACGAAATCAAACCATTAAGTCCTACAAAACTCTCAATAAGTGTTAAAAAATTCTACAATAATGTAAGTACATTGACACGTAAATAGATTTTGTGCATGCTACTTCTAAAGTTATGATTTCTTGATGATTATAATAATAATAATTACTTTCTTGTTATACTCATCCAGAATAAATTCAAACAATATGAAGAAAATTTACATTTATACAACAAAAATAATACAGTGCATATGAATGAAATGATGACAATTAATAAAACTAAAAATGAAGGTTTTGATACAATTATTTATATTTTAATATATTTTTTTTTTTAACCTTTTTTTAAAAAAAAAATTCTTAATAATAGATAATAACGATGTCAAGCATAAAAGTATTTTGAATTGTGAAAAAAATTACAACCAAATTAAAAAGAAGTTTAAACATTATAACCATCATAAACATGACTTGAACCCACAACTCAATAAAGGTAAAATTAATATGTTACATTTTTAATAAAGAAATAACATATCATATCTATGTAAATTTTAATATATTTGCCATCACATTTTTACAACATCTATGTATAGCTGGCAATTATTTTATCAACGCACATTGAATATTTAAGAAATTATTTACACAGTGATAAAGGTATTTTGTAAAATATGTGGCCACTGGATGAATGAACTGCTCACCTAAACTTTAAAAATTTATAACTAATAATTAATTCTACACACTTCGCGTCACCCAGCTATCAAATCGCGTTTCCTATAATGAGTTGTTGTGTTGAGGGTAGGGGAGAATCAGTTTTGGTTGGTACAGTATATACTGTCAACAAATATAATTAGTTGTGTAACAACTTAAAATGTTTATATTTTTTGAAACATAGTGTTCCTTGATAAAATTATTGCCCTGTATTTAATACATGTTTCACCATATAATTTATAAAATGAAAGAAAAAACCAAAATATCTGAAGTTCAAAACCTTTCCAGTTAATAATTTGGTAAATAATTGAAAAAAAATATTCTAAATTCCACAGATATTGTGATAACAAAATGCATGTGATTTAAATTTAGTAAGAAGCCTTCACCAAACTTATCATTTCTATATATTATGTTTATATGTGTTATATATAAATATTTTTTAACAGAACAGTATAAAAAGAAACAGACATCTAATAAAAATATTTCTACAAAAATTTGTAGTAAAGAGGGTGACTTTGAAAATGATGAAGTGCATTTGAATTCCTTACAATCAAAAAGTAGGTTTTCTATGTTTTACATTTAAAATTGAGTTTTAAATACATTTATTTATTTTTATGGGATATTGAAATAGTACCAAATGAAACTCAGACAAATGAATATCTTGTTGAAGAATACCAAGTTACACAATCCACAATTAATGCTCTCTCAATATCTGTTAAGCGTTTTTACAAAAGTGTAAGTTAATTTTTTTATAGGAATAACTTTTTGCCTATCAAATTGCGTTTTGTTAAAATTAATCTTTTATGTCATTTTAAGTTTTGTATTAATTGTATTTTTTTAATAATAATGCTTAAATAAGGTTTGTAAGGTTGCTTTTAAATATTTTAATAATATTATTCATAATGATTTATAAATACTTATAATTTGAAATAATGCAATTAGGTACTCTTAGTCGTAGTTAACAATAATTCTTCTGATATGATTTATTATTTATTATTATCTTTGTTAAATTAGTTTCTCAATCTATTTTTGATTAAATGTATGATATCTTAAATAATATTTTTCTCTCATTTGTATTTAACTAATTTACATTTAAATATTATTTAATTGACTACATTTTTTGTTTCTATTTTATCAGAAGCCTCCATCTAATGATAATGAAAAAATCATCAAGGATATGCCACTTATTTCTGATACTACATTCAATTCAAGTAATAACTTTGTGTCTTAATGTATTATATTATTCTTTTATACATAAATATTTTATTTTAGAAGCAGATTTAAATCAGTCTTCTTTATCGTCAAAATTAAATAGTAGTCATAAGATAAGGTATTATTTTATTTATTATTTACAAACTGCCCTCTTCTTAAAGATTATTTTAGTATTTTACAAAAAAATTTGTACTCCTTATTATTTCTATTTTCACAATTTTTTTCAGATTTGTTAGTTCTAAATGTTCTAATAAACATCAATCATGATAATGAACTTAATCTCTTAATGATTATTGTACTCATTCACTATATACCATTAGCAATTACTAAAATTAACTAAAATACAGTATTGTTGTATCTTTTCAGTTTCTTTTTTAATCACAGAGAATTATAATGTATGCATATTTACAATATGAAAAAAAAAATTAACATTAATTAATAGTGTATATCTTAGTTTTTTTTATTTAAATGTGTTAATTATTATAAGTCTACTTAAGAGGGCAGTACACACAAGATAATATACCAATATGAACATAATGTATATGTATTTTTGTAGTTTAAATGTAAAGCATATCAACGATACATCTAATGAAAAGCAACAAAAAGTCACTGCATTTTTTCCTATCCGAAGAAGCGCTCGTAAAACAAAAAATATAGTCAATGAAGAAAAACAATTAGCCTTAGAAGAAKCCATTGCCTCACAAAATGAAGATGGATTAAAAGTAAAAACAAAATACATAGTTTTAATATATATTTGTGAGTTAATATTTTGTTTTGTTTTAACAGATAACTGTATTCCCTAATAAAGGTCGTGGCATAATAGCAGGTAAAGATTTTGCTCGTGGCGAGTATGTTGTTGAATATTCTGGAGAATTAATTTGTATTCAAGAAGCTCGTAAAAGAGAAGCCATTTACTCTCAAGATACCACCACTGGTTGTTACATGTATTATTTCAAATATGGTTCTACACATTACTGGTAAGATAGAAAAAAACATATTTATTTATATTGTACTGTATTTAATTCTTATTTATTGTGTATGGATGGTTTTCAAGTCAACATTAATGAGTATGAATGGTTACATATTATTACAAATTCAAAATATAAGATAAAAATATAATTCAAACATAACAGATATGATCTAAAAAATGTTATAGTATTGATGCAACTCCAGAAAGTTCAAGACTTGGCAGGCTTGTAAATCATTCAAGATTTGGTAATCTTATACCTAAAGTCGTGGAAGTAGCAGGGCGTCCTAGGATTGTTTTGATTGCAAAATCCGATATTAAACGAGATGAAGAGTTGACTTATGATTATGGTGATCGTAGTAAAGAATCTCTCATCAATCATCCATGGCTTGCTTATTGAGCTATACACATTAATATAGTTAAATTAATTTTTTTATTACTACTAATAAATGAAACTAAAATAAAAAAATATATATAATTTTTCACTGCCAATAAATTATGTTAAAATTAATTAGCTTAAAAGAATGATTTTTATTATAATTTGATTGAACATTTTATTTGAATCTTTTATACTGTCAAATGTATAATACATTTTTTAAGTTAATCTTTTAGACCAATTTAATTATTCTATTAAAAATTGTTATTAATTGATAGAAAAAAAGTTAACTTTGATACTTAACGATAAGTGAAGGGTCAATATTCACGTATTTGTCTGTTTGGAGGGCAGATTATTTCTGATACGATTTTGACTTTTGACAAGTAACAGAGTAATTCTGTCCTTCTCACCGGCAATTTTACCCCAACATTTGACCTTCACTATACTCAGAAAAAAATGTTAAGGATTTTTATCTTTCAATTGGGTCCAATTTCATTAGTTTCTGTTACTGCCCACATATATATTATTAAATTATATTTTCTTATTTTAATAATTTATGACCATTATTCAATGTTTTAAATTGTTCAGTTTAAAATAAAATTAATGATTATAACTAGTGCCCGGAACTTGATATCTTCAAATATATTTTTAAAAATGCATAAAATGACATAAAAATGTTTAAAAATTTATACTTTTCTGTAAAAATTGTTTAATTAATGTTGTTTTGATA